TGCCAAGGGAAAAAGCCTTCTTTTGCTGTCCTCTGTAGGGCTGTATTGTATTCTGTGTAGTGCATCTTCATATCTGGGATTTGAGGGGACAACATTTGTAATCTGAAGAAAGAAGAATAATAATAGACTCAATTGTAATGGACCACTGTCGCACACTAGTCTTTCCCCAGATCTGAAACAATTTTCTTAAAGCTTAAGCAAGACAGCAATCACAAAAATTAGCTCATAAAAAAATGGCTTCAAAATCAGACAGTGAACTACACAAATCTGTGGCCGCTAGACACTATCTCTGCATGATCCCATCAGCTGGTAGACAAGGCTGAAGCAAGCTTGCTACAGCCTAATATTGAGCACAAAAAGAAACTGTCTTTTTGCACTTTGGAAAGAGAGAATGTACAAAAGTGTTGTTTGACATATTCCTTTTAGACTTCTTTTAGGCTTCAGTGGAAATTTAAAGAATTCCTTGCATGTCGGTGGCAGAAATATATGAGTGGTGTATTCAGTCATACACCTCTCACTACATTTCTATTTCTATTTCTATTTCTATTTCTATTTCTATTTCTATTTCTATTTCTATTTCTATTTCTATTTCTATTTCTATTTCTATTTCTATTTCTATTTCTATTTCTATTTCTATTTCTATTTCTATTTCTATTTCTATTTCTATTTCTATTTCTATTTCTATTCCTATCACTTCATTGTTTCTCAAAGTATTAGAATTTTTTTCATTTGTGTAATTAGAAAATATGGTATTTATTACTAAGAGGTAGAGACTAGAGACAGGAGGTGGGGAGCTTTCATCTAGGGAGACAAGTGCTCTGTATGAGTATTACTTAATGTGGAGCCATGACTCACACACAATGTCATTTTAACAACTTTCTGTGTTTAATTTCCTTTTCTTTAACCAGTAGCCTAACAGAACAGCATTCCAACTGTGGTGTATGGACCACCAGTGGTTTGTAGGGCTCTCCCAGGTGGTCTTGGAAGTTCAATGTTTTGGGAACTACAATACACCCAACAGATCTCAGGGAAAAGAACCAAGTGGTCCAAAGGTGATTTCTTTCTTGCTGTGTGAATGGTCTCCAGAGGGAAAAAAAAACTGGAGAGACCTCTTTATTTTTGGGGGAAAATTGTTAACAGTTGAATTTTGGACACTGTTTTACATTCTTAGTGTCTATAGCAGTCAGAAAGTTTTAGACGTCTGCAAGTGGAGACAAAACAGAGATGCAGATGATGCAGAACAACATGGCCAAATTGCTGCAGAGAGTCCTGAAAACCAGGGAAGTTTAATGCACCTGACATTTCAGGGAGATTTTGAACAGTTGAGTCTCATTACTTAGGCACAATTTAATTTGGCTTGTATTTCCCAGGTCCTGCTAGGTCCCAACATCCCAAGGGAGAACTGCCCTGGGTTTCTTCTCCCCCGATCCTAAAGAGGTTTTGTTTGGCAAGTGACAAGTAGGAGGTGATGGAGCAGATGGTAATGCCATTTCCAAGGCCACATGGTATGTCTCTCCTAGAGGGATTGCATGGTAGCCTGTATCAGTGATGAACACACTGTCCTGGTGCCTATGTGGGACTCAGCAGTCATAAATGCTGACCCTGTGAAATGGAGGGGACACTTGCCACTCTGCTCATGACCTTCATGGACCTGAGGGGTGAATTGAACTTGAGTTGCACTTGTGGATCCATCCCGCACATGGCACTGTCATTTTGGTGTGAACTCCGAAGAATAGGATGCCTCCTACTGACATGCCACTCCTGATTCCTGCACATTGACCCTCTGCATGGAGACCCTCTCTAGCACTCACTGACCTAGACTAACCCTGCCACAGCTTTTGAGATCCAGTGAGCTCATTGCCTGAGGGGGGAGGCTGCAGGCCAGAGGGGAGAAATGTAATACTGCGTAGTGTGTGTGCTTCAGTGCTCAAAAATGCAACAGTTTCCAGAGGGTAGAGAGAATGGGGGGAAAACTGAAAAACTCTTTGCATATCCCAAATTAGACCTTGCACTGGAAGAGAGGACAATATAACTAGTGTACAGGGAAAGAACACTTCCAGTAAGTAAAATTTAGCCTATTTCTAGCAATGAAGTATGTCCTGGGAAATTTCCATTGCATTATAATGGGCTTAATTAGAATGGTTATAACTGAAGAAGTGCACTTGGCAGAGGAGTGGGAAAGGAGAGTGCTACCATTGTAAGGTTAACTGTGTTGCCTGTCTTTTGCTCATTTTATCAAATGGTACCTGCTCAGGTTCTAGGCTTCAATTTTCGTCAGGTACAATTGCAGTGGTTTCCCAGGCTCAGAATCAATTTGGGGATGCTCAGTTTTAAGCATTAGTCCTAAATGGCCAACAAGTCCAAGTAGACTTGGGGCATGCAGGTGTTATATAGAATCATTTGAAAAGAAATATTAAATACAGAAATACATTCTGGTTAAATTATTAGGTTATGGAAGCCTGTTATGTACAGTCTAAATATTTTTGCTGTCCCTAAATGCTAGATTGACTTCCATTAGTTTGGACCTTAATGACTTCAGTGGGATTAAATTTTAATCTCATGTAGCAATTTCAAGCCTTGCAGTGCTGCTGGGAGTCTCATAACTGCTCAAAATTGCTAGATTAGATTCTGGTGTGATCCTGTCTGGCATCCTCACTCTTGGTTTCTCTCTATTTGGGGAATGCTGGAGATCAGAGGGACTATCAAATGGGAGCTGCAGAGGATACCATAAAAGGGTTTAGTCTTTTTGAGAAGAAACCTTCCCTTTCATACAACTATTATATAATGCTATTTTGTCCTATGTTTGACAGGAGAACTAAGGCTTTTTTTGACTCTTAGTCAAGTCTTCACTCTGAAAATGTTTTTAGAGCCCTAGATCCTATCTATATTACTGGCATGTCTTACCTGGAAAAATGTACTGAAGTATTAACTCTACTTTCACAAAACATTTTTTTTGGTTACATCTGTGAAATTCTTTAGAAATTCTTCAGAATAGTTTTCTTTTTCAAAGTGACTAAAGAATGGTACTCTGTAGGCCATGAAAAGACCCCAAGGGCAAGAACTAAGGGCCAACATTAGAAAAAATAAAAACAATAATGTATAAAAACAATCAGCTCTCTAAAAACCCCCCTAAAATTTAAATTTTGATATTTCTTGTAACTTGGCACAGAGAAGTTCCAAAACTTGCAATAATTTTAGAGCAAATTGGGCTAAAAAAAGACAGATCACAATATACCCCAGAGAATCAGGAAGTTCCAGTTTCCTTTCCATGCAATGTTTACTATACTTGCACTCATACCAATGCCATGGATGCCTTCAGAATTTCAATTGTTAGCAGTAAACCATTTAAATGGCAGAGTGTCATTTAAATACAGAAATTCCTTTTAAAAAGATGTAACACAACATGAAAGCAAATTCATCCTTCTCTACAGTCAGGAGATTAGAAGATAACTAGCCAAGGAAATGTAGATATATATCACATTTGGCTTCCAGGCTGAGAACTAATATTTTTTTACCAGATTTTAAACAATTCTATTGTAGTTGCTAAAACAATACACCACTAAGCCACCAAAATGATATTTTTGGAATGAAATGAACATTCAGTAGAATTTGATACTTCCAAAGTACTGTTTGTAATCATTTGAGAGAGAAAATTTTGCCTTTTTTTTTTTTTTTTTAATCTTCCTGTTAAGTGAAAGGAATGTGCAAACCAGTATGGGCTAGTAAAGCATATGACACAAAGCTTGGCTGTACTGAAGTCATAATTGGATGAGACTATGATCCACCCACAGAAATAATACAAATCCTTTAACAAGAGACTTAAGAACTGTTAACTAAAGCCAACATAGCAACAAGCTTCCCCTGAAAACACACCTTATCTCAGGAAGTGAAAACTATTCACTGCCTAAATTTCAATTAACTTTGTTACACTTTTCAGAACCACAGCGGTTCAAGCTTGATTAACATTATGATGACTGATAATTGCTTTTACAGGTCTGATTTGGTGGAACAGTGGAAAATGTCTTGCCAAACTGTATTACATGGGTGAAAAACATTAAATAGACAACTAACATGTCTCATATCTTCCTCTACTCTTCTCTCTTTTTCTTCCCTATATTTTGTAACCTCCCATAGAGGCTTATTGTGTGTGCATCTGTGTGTGTCTTTGTGTCTGTGTCAGTAAAAGCCCTAACGTTAGATCACAAGTTCTTGTTTATATAAGCTTCAATTTACCCTTCAGGCAGAAATTTAGAGATTTCCAAACACACAGATGCTTGCCACTATCCAAATTCAATTTGAAATGCTCTGCACAACATCTCCTTTAACTTAACTAACCTTGTATTGTTCAAACACTTCATAATGGGTTTTGATTGCCAAATATCATTACTAACTTTGCCATTGTTAACAAAGTTAATTGAAACACAAATAAATACAATTCCATAAAATGTCAAATCATCTGAAAAAAATTGTATTCATTTTATTAGACACACAAATCTTATTTTACAAATAATTAGTGTGCTAAGTTATTATGCAAAAAAACAAAAAAAAAAAAACCCAAAAAACAAAACAAAAAAAAAACCTAAAAGAAAATGTTTCTACCTAGTATTACCTAGACCCTAGGAAAGATCCTGGAGGACTTGAAGGAATGGGCCATTATCTGTCAAGAGTCTCAGGAATACAACTCATTCATATAAAGCAAAACCTAAGGAAGGGAGGCTGAAACAGCAAGAAACAAACCAAGGTTTTTAGAGAATAGGCGAAGAATGCTTCCCTCAGGGGAAGATTTGGAAGTCTCTGGAAGAGAGAGGGAGAAGGGCCAAACCTAGCATGCTGTCATAAAGTTTTCAGACCACGGCAAACTGCAGTTTCTTTTGATGTGCACACTGTGGAGGAAGCAGTTCTACACTCTAGAAATTATGGAAATAGGAGAGATTCAGGAAGAGAGAATCAGTGTCACTAACCTCCAAAAAAGCTCATGCTGCAAATAACACAAAGAAGTCTTCAAGTTCTCACTCTTTATGGATTAATTTCAAGAGAATACACAAAATAATACACAAAGAAAATGTAACTTAGTTACAGACATGATTGATCTCCACTTTCTCCACATTGCTGGAAAGTAATGCTTCTTTTAGCTGCAGAGGTTTTTTTTTCCAGACACAACATGATTTTGAAAGTGGATCCATATAACTCTCCTAAATACCATGAAAATCCAAGTCTGTAGCAATGTCACTGTCTGCTAGATTCATCCTGTGTTGAATCAAGAACTGGTATTCTGCTTGAAAATTCTGCTTCAGGAGGTTCTCCTGCTCCTGCTTCTCCTTAGTCATCCTGTGTCTCCCAGAAAAGGAATGAGGGATCAAAGTCTGCAATTTCCATCCTATGAAACAGACGTAGATGAATTCTTAATGACAATTAACTGTCTAAAATTACAACAGTTTTACTGTTTGCAATTGTTCTCTAATGAGTGAGTTGCTGCAGAGTAAATCTGTGACAGAAGTTAGAGTGGCCTCTGCAGTGTCTCCTCCCAGAGATGATGTTTACATCTCAGTGAAAGGCAGACAGGATGCACTGGGTATAGTGCAAGGTACAGTAGGTGATAATCTGTGCATGGGATGATATCTCAAACAGCTGAAATGCTGAAAGTTTACTTCCTAATTTAGCCAATAGTAATTTGCTCATCTACCTATATGCATTTGATGTGGATTGAATATATATTGCTCATGCCCACAGGATATCCAAATACTGTCCTTTTCTGGCACAGCATAAATTTATTGCAGAAATTCTTGGATAGTTTGAAAAATGTAAGCACAGCATGTTCTCCAAGATTCAAAGCAACATATGTTTGTGTATCTTGTTCAAAGTTGTGCCTGAAAAATGTTAATGTTCATGTATAAGTAACGGCACGTAAAAGGGTTTTTGTTCTAGGCATATTTTACCCCTGGATTTATATGGGCATGAGGTAACACCTACTTTTTTTTTTTCCCTTCAAATGCATAATTGAAACAAGTCCTTATTTTGCTCACTATAAATATGTACCATATGTATCTCTTATAATGTTGTATTTTGTAGCATGGTGGGATTTGCTAGTACCTGTGAGTTATGTCAACCTTCATCCAAAGGGAAATAAAAATTAAGAACATTGCATTATGTGATATTATGTATCCTAGACATAGTCACAGCAAGTCTATAAGTACAGTAAACAGCTACATTATCACCCTATTGATTTACTTTGTATAATATGATGGTTTGATTGCTGTAAACAGGAATCATGCCACTAAAACAACAAACAAAATTGATTGTACTGAAGCACACACATTGTAGTTTCCACTGACTTTTAGGCTTGCTCTGGTATGCACTCACAGATCACAGGGTTATGATTAGCTGTTCTTCATAGTCTGAGAAAACAGTAAAGATGTGAAAATGCTGTGAATCCACTGCATTGCACACTTAAGAATTAACTTAAGTATTGGGCTATTCACAATTTGAAGGCTGTGAGTTTTAGAGAGCTAATCACATGACAGTGCCTGACTTTAGCTAAGTAAACACTCTGGAACTTCCTTCAGAACCTTTCTGATACAATACAAGTTAACCTTTTTAAAAACAGAGGTGTACCGCAGAAGGTGCTACTACTTTGGGTGCAATCTTATGTCTTTAAAAAATGTTATTACAGTATACCAGATATGGACCCCCTACTCACTAGGTCCTAGTGACCCAATAGAAAGCCTTTCACCTGTGTTCACCAGCAGAAAACCCTGTGTGTAGCCCTAGAGATATAAAACAAACTAGAGAAAAAGCATAACACAGCTTCAAAGCTTTCTGAGATGTTTATCCTCTCATTTGTACATCTGCTTAAAGTCTCTGTTTTCACTTAATATATTAAAAAATACAACAAAAAAATAGAAATGCAGCTTGTGAACCAATTACTAACGAGTAAAAGTATAACAGATGCAAACAAAGAAGTGCAGTATTTTTCACCATATGTTTCAAATCAATCTTACTCCTTCATCAGTTGGAAACAAAGCATAATGTTGTGGTTCTAACAGTAACTAACCTTGATCTATCAAACCATAGAAAAACTAGCAGTACTTTGACAAGCCACTTGTCCTATTTATTGTAAATAGTTAGTAGGATTAACTAAGATTCACTATTCATTTAGAATTATATTATCTAATTATGCCAATTTCAATCCTTTTCTAATTGCCCTCTTGTGTTCAAATTTCTTTATTGCTCATTTACTAGTTTCTGCTCTATTCAGTTGGCATTTTATTTAACAACCTCAAGTCTGGAATTTCAGGTACAGAGGTCTGGAGGCGAATGGCATGGTGATGGAGAGGAGGACCTGGGGAAAGGACTTTGCAGGACTGCAGCTGCTTCCCCCTCACACACCACAGATGGTGCAGAGCACTGGGGAGCACCAGTGCTATGGCTACAGTCCCTGACGTCCTCCTGAGAAATCCACCCACACATAGAGGCACCTGCACAACATGGTGTTTTTACTGTCTTTAAAACAAGCCATTCATCTTGAGGTTAATGGCAAAAAAGCTCCACACATTCCAGTTGCAACAAGACTACCCACAGACTTTGACATGTGTTTTAAAACTAGACGCTCTTTCCTGAATTCTCTTTTCTTCTTTCTTTTTTTTTTTTTTTCCTTTTTCCATTTAAGCTTTTATTTGACTTTTGTACTCTAGAGCCCAAAATGCACTCCATATCTTTGAATCTGTCAGCATGCAAGGGGCCTGAGAAGACAGCAAGGCACTGAAAAGAACCCCACAGTTTCAAGCTTCAGGTGGGAGGCATGACTGAATAATCTCTAGAGATCCCTTCCCACTGCTGTTTCTGTCATTCTCACTTGCAACTTCCCTGTAAATGCACAGAGATATCTTAGTAAGGACTACAGATGCATTTTGTCACCTGTCTCCAATGTGTGCTGCAGTGGCTAATATTGTGCAAAGGTGCTTTCAGAGTGGATGTCAGGGTCCCTTTTACCACCTGTAAGCAATCAGCCGCAGTTGCCAGGATATTACATGCTGTGCTCACAAACAACTCGAAGGCTTGTTAAGTGCAGTTCCCTGTGCACTCGGTGCTTTAAGCAGTGCTAGCAGGGGAATCTCCACAATGTCACAGCTTTTACAGGCACAATGGTACCAGATCAGTCTCTCTGCTCTCTCCCAGCCTGCTGCACTGAGCTCTAGTGAGGCTGGTGCTTGGGAGGGTAAATTTAATCTCTCTTGCTTTGAGGATGTATAAACTGTAGAATCTGAGTGCTGTAGGTCTGCCAGATTCTCAGCTCTCTGAACCACCTTTTCTTGTGTTTGCCAAACTTTAAGGATCACTGGCTTATAATCATGAACTCAGTGAACTTTGCACCTAAATGTAAGGTGAGAAAGAAGTGACTTTTAATGTAAATGCTATATTCAGATCTAAACATGGCTTTAGGCCAGGTTCAAAAGAGGACTTAAGCACTTTATATGGGATCTAGAAGCTAGAAGTCTAAAACATTATACTGAAAATGCCTGCCTATCCCTGAAGACACCTGGGTTTAATAGGGCGTTGACCCTTTTCAGCTTAAACTTTCCTCCAGAGCCCCTCAATTTGTGTGTCTAAATTTATCCATCTTGGCATAGTCTACCAAATTTAGTTCCCTCTTGTTTATATGATTCAGAGTTATATGTCCTCCCTTTTAGAGAAATGTCCTGCCACCAGACTAAACCAATTAGGGTAAATGTACAATCCACTGACAAGACTCCAAAGTTTATGGAGCAAAACATAGTTCACTAATTTATGTGGGTATGTAGCTTAACTTGGTAGGAATTCTGAATTCTGGTTTTTGCTCCCACAACAGGATCTCTATTTTATAGGTGATACAGTTAAAATACAGGAATGACCATAGAAACTGGCACCCAAACTGTGTGTCTCAGCCCTAAGCCTAACCATTAGACCAGGGACTCATGCTCTGCCTCTGTCACTCAGTCTTTCATATTTTGTGCATAGCAGCCCCATTTTCCCAAAGGGGTGAGAAGAGTCCTGTTCTACTTCCCAAAAAAACCTATGAGGAATAGGCCACCTCCTGGTGATCTCCATCTTCTGAAAAGCAGGAAAAGGGGGATTAAAATATTCCAAGATGAGGAAAGAATTTAGTCTGTTTCCTCCCTACTTTTGAAAGAGGCAGAACAAGTTCTAACAATATTTTTAAAGAAACAAATGAGCTCTGTCTAGCTCTTTAGAAACATATACCTTACAGAAAGAGTCCTGGCTGTACATATCATGTGTGTAAAAGCAATTTTTTTGCAGCCTGTAGTAAAGGCTAAGCTCTAAGACACAATATATCCTTAGAGTTTATTTTTTGTATAGTTCCTGGCAATTGTATGCTCACTGACATAAGGTAGCTCCCAGCTTAGCTTGCTCTTAGGTTTTAAAATTTGGGCATTCTAATGCGCATAACTATGCATGCACCATTTATAGACAAGTAATTTTGCATTCTAGCTTTCATGTGGTGGTACCAGACATCTGAACGGGTTTGAAAACTAGACTGCATATGTAAAATGACTTAAGTCATACTCCTATAGGATGGGAGTAGTAAAATTTCATGTGTTTTCAGCCTTTTCTGTCCCTCCCCTGCTATGTAGCAATGAGAGGGATATATAGGCAAGGCCATGGCACCAGAACAAGTCCCTTGGTCTCTGCCCCATTACTTTAGCCTTCATTTTCATGTTCATCTCCTCCCTTCCTCCCAGGTAGGGCAGCTGAGATCATGTCATCTAAGGAAAATCCCCTTTCTCTTCTCCTCATTTACCCTTCCCACTGATTAAAGTACAATGCTGCCACAATGATGTCACCCAGACGAGGTCTGTCCCAGCCTCACTGGGTGCTTGCATTGGCTGGTGCAGCGCCAGAGTCTTTGTTATATTGAAGATTCACAGACACATGGGTTTGCTGTGCCTGCCCTTGCAGACAGCTGCAGCACTCATGGCTTGGTTCTTGTGGCCAAGACTCACTAGAAAAGCCCTTTGCTCCTGTTCAGCTGAGTAGTGAAGGGGCAGAGAGGCACAGATAGGGGGACTCAATGTCCTGAACTGAAACAAAACTGGTAAATACACACATGTGGAGAGACTGGATTACAACCTTCTTTTCTGTTTGGTGTCAAGCCAGTATCAGCTAAGCAAAGGTCCAGCAAGAGTGTCATAACTATCTAATTAGTGATTATGAAATGGGGTAACAGAGCATTTCTGACTCTACCTATTGGTATACTCCCTGAACTGAGGGCCAACATAATATTTTACATTAAACAAATCCAGTAGCAGTAGTGTCTATCTCTGGGTTTCTTTTCTTATAAAAACATAAAAAACGGGACATTACAATAATCCCACTGGTGACTGTACATTACTACTTGCTTAAGTTCAAAATGGGGCACATGTTCATCGCTTTTGCTCCTGCTAAATGCATAGACATTTTCTCCAAGGAGAGAATGCTGGAGCTTAACCCCATATACTTACATGCATGCTGCTTTTATCCAGTGGACTTATTACTTCAAATTCTCTTGTGATTTAGCAAGATGTAACCAGGTCTCCAATACTTATTTTCCTTCATGGCTTTGGTTTTCCTGAAATAAAAATCCCAAATGTAATAACATGACTGGAGTTACTGTCTCTTAAACTAATTTTGACAGACAGTGTTATGGACAGCTGTCATGGTTTAACCCTGTGACAGCTAAGGCCCATGCAGCCACTCGCTCCCCCCATGGTGGACTAAAAGTAGGTTTTGATACAGACAGTTTAATAGGTAAAGAAAAAGCCACACATACAAGCAAAGAAAAACAAGGAACTCATTCACCACTTCCCATGGGCAGCCAGGTGTTCAGTCATCTACAGGAAAGCAGAGCTCCATCATGTGTAACAGTGGCTTGGGAAGAAAGATGCCATTAACCACAAACATCCCCCCCATTCCTCTTTCTTCCCCCAGCTTTACATGCTGAGCTTGATGCCATATGGGATGGAATATCACTATTGTCAGCTGTGAGGGCAGCTGTCCTGTCTGTGTCCCCTCACAGCCTCCTCCCTGCTGGGGTTCAGTGAAAAGCATGGGAGATGCCTCAACACTGTGTGAGTGTTGCTCAGTGATAACTAGAACATCCCTGTGTTATCGTTTCCAGCAGAAATTCAAAACACATCCCCATATCAGTTGCTGTGAAGAAAACTAACAGCTAAAACCAGCTAAAGCCAGCACAACAGTTCACAGGGTAGTGTCACTATCTTTGAATATTTGGTCTGGCTTGATTCTCTCACTGATTATTAATTACAGCCTTTGACACTGTTTTTATGAAACAGAGATCTCCATAGTCAAAAGAAGGACAGTGACAGGTCAAAAAGGTTCACGTTTTTCACACATGAAATGATCTTACACCCATAGAAGTTGTCCATCCTCAAAGCACTTCACTTGAATTTCTCTCTGATTTGATATTCCCATGTTTAGCACAATTCCTGTGGTACAAAAAGGAGTATAAGTCCTACAGTGTATTCAGAGGAAAAGTATCCCAGCCAAGAGGCCTGCACCGCACCTCTGGGTGGCCAAATCCTGCACAGAACTCTGGGAGTTGACCCTGGCTAGATGCCAGACATCCACAAAAGCATTTCTATCTGTCTTTTCCACAGCTAGACAGGGGAGAGAGAAGGATTCATGGGGTGAGATAAGGTCCAGGAGAAATTATTCCCCAAATACCAACTTGAATTAGAGATATTAATCGAATTTATTATCAACAAAATCAGAGCAGGATAATGACAAGTAAAATAAGACCTTAAAAACACCTTCCCCCGCACCCCTCCACCTTCCCAGCTTTACCTCATCCCCCACAGCAGCACAGGGAGACAGGGAATGGGGATTACAGTCAGTTCATCACACACTGTTCCTGCCACTGCTCAGGGAGAGGAGTTGCTCTCCCTGCTCCAACACAGGGTCTCTCATGCAGGAGAAAATTTTCTATGAACTTCTCCAATATGAGTCTATCCCACGGGCAACAGTTCTGCACGAACTGCTCCAAGGTAGGACACTTTTCCATGGGTAGAGTCCTTCAGGCACACTATGCTCCAGTGTGGGTCCCTCCAGGAAACCTGCTCCAGGCACGGGCTCCTCTTTGCACAGGTCTGCAGGTTCCTGCCTAGAGCCCACTCCAGGTCAGGCCTCTCATGGGTTTACAGTCTTCTTTCAGGCATCCCCCTTTTCCATTGTGGGCTCCTCCATGGCTTGCAGGTGTATCTCTGCATCCCTGGGATCCTCCACGGGCTGGAGGGGACACAGATGCCTTACCATGTACTTGCCTGGAGCACCTCCTGCCCCTCATTCTCTATTGACTTTGGTGTCTGCAGAGCTGTTCCTGTCTCATATTCTCATCCCACTCTTCTCTGGCCACAGCTGGACAATAAATTTTCTTCTTATATATATTATCACAGAGGTGTTACCACCATTTCTGATTGGCCCTGCCTTTACCAGCAGCACATCCATCTTGGAGTCATCTGGAATTGGCTCTCTTGGACATGGGGGAACTTCTGGCAGCCTCTCAAAGAAGTCATTCCTATAGCCCTACGGCTACCAAAATTTGGTCATGCAAACTCAATATATGTAAAGATCAGGGTGACAGCTCTAGGCAAAAATTTTATATAGATGAAGTAGTCAATTTCAGAAATGGGTTTGGAGTCAAATTATTCTTATCAATCACCTTGTTATAACATAACAAAAGTCATGCTATGGCTTTCATAGAAGAAAAGGAATAATTTTCATAGAAGAAAAGGAATAAAAGGAACATAAAGGGCATTGAAGGCACAAAATCATGCAGTGTCCCAGAGTAATGGACAGGCAATTTCCCACTTAATTTAGAAGATATGCATTTATACTGTTCATTCCTTGTAGCCATGAAGGATATATTATACTCATTAAATATGCTGCTGTCCTGACTCCATGCTGCCAAGTTGTAGTTGTTGAGTACAAGTAAAGCCCACAAGCAGTGACCAGAACACATCTTCCATGCAGCAACATAGCCACATACTAAAACCACATGATATGGATGGTTTAAAAGCAGAAATGGCAGTAGCCAATGCATGGTTTCACCGCTAGAATTTTGAGAAATTCACTTCTAGTGGTGGGAATTGATATTTACAGTGTTATTTTCAAATATTGCACACAGACAGCATGGCTTCACAATGTCTGAAATCTTGTTTGTTGAACTTCATTTCCTTCTATAAAAAGCTAACCCAGCCAAGTTGATCAAGGGAAGCCAGTTGATGTGATCTTTTTGGACTTCAGCAAAGCTTTCAGTACTGTCTCACAGGATTCTTCTGGACAAAATGTCCAGCTAGATGCTGGACAAACACATCATGGGATGGGTCAGAACTGGCTCATGGGCTGGGCACAACATGTTACAGTGAAGGGGGTGATATCAGACTGGAGACCTGTCACTACTGGGGTTCCACAGGGCTCCAGCTTTGGTCCAGGGCCCTTCAATATCTCCATTAACCACTTCAGTGCAGAACTCTAAGGAATTTAAAGTGTATTTGCCAACAACACTATACTGGGAAGAGCTGTTGATTCCCTTGAAGATAGGAAGGCCCTGCAGAAAGACCTTAACAAATTAGAGGGCCACAATCAACAACAGTATAAAGCTAACAAGGGACAGTCCTGGATTCTGCACCTGGGATGGGGCAGCCCTGGATGTACAGACAGACCGGGCAAGGAGAGGCTGGACAGCAGTGCCATGGAAAGGGCCCTGGGGTTCTGGTCCATGGCAAGTTAAACATGAGCCAGCCGTGCCCTGGCAGCCAGGAGGGCCAAGGCTGTCCTGGGGCATCAGGGACAGCACTGACAGCTGGGCAAGGGAGGGGATTGATTGTCCTGCTCTGCTCTGCACTGGGGCAGCCTCACCTCGAGTGCTAGGGGCACTTTTGGGTGCCACAGTATAAAAAGACATTTAACTGTAAGAGTCTGTCCAAAGGAAAGTCACGAGTGTGGTGAAAGGTCTGGAAGAGAGTCTGGAAGAGAGGAGCAGCTGAGGTCACTTGGTGTGTTCAGCCTGGAGAAGAGGAGACTCAGGGGAGACCTGCTTGTGGTCTTCAATATCCTCTTGAGGGGAAGTACAGGGGCAGGTATTGATGTCTCCACTCTCTTGACCAGCAACAGGACTCAAGGGATAGATCTAAATATGTGTCAGGGAAGGTGTAGATAGATATTTTATTCCAGAGGTTGGTTGGGCAAAGTGGTCACAGCAGCAAGCCTGACAGAGTTTGGACTGAGCTTGGACAACGCTCTCAGGCACATGGTGTGATTTTGGGGATGTCCTATGCATGGCTAGGAGTTGGACTTGATGATCTTGACGGGTCCCTCCCATCTCAGCATATTTTATAATTCTATGATAATATTCTAAGAACTACAAGGAAAAGTAAATCACAAGCACAAACCCAGATTGTCCCACTGAAGGTGAAAAGACATCAATTTCCTGAAATCATAAATACCTTTTACTTACTATGTTTCCTTCATGGTAAAGGTCTGTAGCTTTTGTATCCTTTGGACAAGAATCATGTTACTTAGAGATACTTGTGCCTCAACTCCACAAACAGTAGATGCACACTGGAATTATTAGTCTCATTAAAAAACTTGCGAATTTGAAAAATTGTGGAGGTTTAGGCTTTTTGAAAAAACACCCAAAGTTCATTTTCTCCATTTCAGCAGTAAGAAAAGAATAAAAATCTCTAGGAAAAGTCTGTACCACTGCAAAGGAAACAGTTACACAGTGCTTCTCTATTATGAAAATTGATTTGTTCTTAACTATTAGCATTACCACAATACAAAAATCTTCGTGAAAAAAAGGCAGATTATAGTTTTCACATATTTTGGGAGGCCCTGCAGATAAGAGGAAAATGTGAGACCAGAGGTAAGCTACCTCCCACTAGGAACAGAAGCAGAACTGTCTTCACCAGGACTTTACCCTATGTTTGTTCTTGCCACAGAAGCAAGTCGCTGCAAGCATGGTATAGGCACAGGGCTGCTTGTGATTACTATCCTGGTGTCTTTTTTTCATGGAATTGACTCATTCATGGCAGCAGGAGTAGGATAATTTGTACTTACTACAGAATATGATGTGTGAGGAACAAATACAGAGCAAACAAGTTAATGCATAGCTATGTGGTAACAAGTTTATATGACAAAGTCCTAGCATAGGTGAACTCAGTGAACGTGGATCCTTCCTAATGAAGACAAAACAACTGCCTAAGTGTGCAGCAGGTCTATCCATCTTCCAGGATGACTTTCCTCTCACAAATCACTCCTGCGACTGAAGGACATGCCTACTAAGAAGTCAGACACCACCTTTTACAAACAGTAAAAAAAACATTATATCAGTGCCTGCTATATGGCTTGTCTCCCTTTTAACTGTTGAAACTGTAAACTTAGAGAAACTTTCCTTAACCAATGAAATCTTCTTATTTTAGGAGCTATAAGAAAGCTCCTTTACAGCTGCTGAGGGTGAGGAGAAGGTAGCAGCTCCGCCTCTTCTACTGTTGAGGTCTTCACTGAAATCTGCCAGGCCATACCTGATTTAGGGAAACTTGGATATTCCCAGTGGCAGGAATAAGTACCTGCAGGTAACACTCAAACACTGTGACTACTGCTAATAATGTTTTTTCAAAATCTCTTCAGAAAATATCAGCCAATTTTCAAATATACTTTCTGCTCCTTAATTCAGGTTGTTACTGGGGAAAGCTATGCTCTAAATTTATGTCTAAATTCTAAACTGAATCCAATTATGTTCTCATATATTCATTGGATGCCAAAGCAAGAAGGATATTAACAATATGACCCAGAAACTACTAAGTTCTCTACCCCAAAATTGTTGCTGCTTCTATATTTCTGACCACAATATGACATTGCAATATCTTAAATAGTTTAGTTCTTTCATTTCCAAAACCCAAAACTCAGGTGTAGTGACACTTATCTCCGGTGTACAGGTGTTTTGAGGTTTTATAAATGTCCCAAATTGTAAAAATGTTAACGCTATAAAATGTAGGAAGCCATACTGTCAACCCAGAGAAGACCAAATCAAACTGCCCATTCTCTATTCAAGAATTAGGGATGCCAAAAGCTACT